CAAGCAAGGGTTGAGTATAATAGGATTGATACAATAGGTATACAATAATCTCTTAATTCAATAGGCCTCAACAAACACCATTCTCGCTCATGTAAATCAAAGGACATGACCTCACAAGCAATAATTGATAAATCACTCAAGATTAAGATCGAGTTGTAGGAAATAGAACAAAAAATTAGATGAAACACAATTGTTGTGTCATGAGATGAATCACTGCCTTGAAAACAATTTCGGTATGACCACGGTTCTAAATCGTATATAGTCGGTTGCTCCCAAAGGTTAACACAACTTCGAACTCAAGCGTGCACTCGCCGGAGCTAGATGGAATCAAAGAACATGCTCAGTAATTTTTTGTCAAAAAAGATTTAGGTCTTACTCTCTGCCAAATGAAAACAAAAAGAATTGTTTGTAAAAAAAAATGAAATGTTTTAAATGGCTTAATTAATTGAAACGTTACAAAATGAATTGAAACGTTTAACAATTAATTACCCAAAAATAAAGCGTTTTTCAAAACCATAAAAGTGATATTATTTTACCTTTTGTCAATACACTTTGTCATTCCCAATCACATATGATCATCTTATGAAATTAATTATCTTATCTTTTAATGGATTTACAAAGAAAGATTAAATACTTCGCAGTCCAATCTTATACAAACCCATTGTATATAATACCCCCACTCACATGTCTCCACATGAACAATTTTGAATCAAATCATCTATAACATTTACAAAGTGGATTGTAACAATAGTGTTACCAAGATAAGGCACCCAACCATATCTATATACTATAGACTCTTTAGGTTATAATTTGAACACGATATTGTTGTATGTCAACTACATACTATTCAAAATTCTATTTATAACCTTGGATTTTTACAAAATTGGATAATATTTGCACATAACAAAGTAAATAAGATAATTACTTTATTCATAAATAATTGAAATTTACAAACTAAGAGACTTTAGGGCATAAATCCTAATAATCTCCTACTTGTACTAAAGCTAGTGGGACATGTATCGTAGGGCATACTTTATACTCAACATTTTCTCCCCACTTGCTCTAGAGGAGATGTGACATAACTCATAAATCTAGATACTCTATATGACTCTCAAACACTTTAGCTAGAGAGTCTTCGTAAATAGATCAGTTCAGTTGTCTGAAAATGCCATCATATGGGTGACAATCACGTCTCCTCTTTGCATAATCTCTCTTATAAGATGATATTTTCTCTCTATATGCTTCCCTCTTTTGTGGCTTTTAGGTTCCTTGGAGTTTGTTACTGCACCACTATTATCACAATAGATAGTGATGTGCTTATCCATATTTAAAACAACTTCCAAATCCGTTAGGAACTTTCTGAGCCATGCTGCTTCCTTTGCTACTACATACACAACTACATATTCTGCTTTCATGGTGGAGTCGACAACATAACTGTGTTTAATACTCCTCCACACTATGGCTCCTCCACCTAGAGTGAATATTGATTCTTATGTGGATTTCCTCGAATCCTTATAGGTTTGAAAATTAGAGTCAGTGTATCCTGTAAGGATTAAATCTTTTGTTCCATACATAAGAATATAATTTCTCATTCTTCGTAGATTCTTGAGAATGATTTTTACTGCAATCCAGTGGTCATATATAGGATTTGACTAATATTTGCTGACTATTCCTACTGTATGACATATGTCTGGTCTCGTGCATAACATGACATACATAAGACTACCTTCAGCTGAGGTATAAGGGATCCGTCTCATTTCCTCAACTTCTTGAGGTGTCTTAGGACGCCGTCTCTTAGACAATGTGATTCCATGCCTGAAAGGTACATTACCTTATTGGAATTTTGCATCGAATATTTAACAAGAATCTTGTCAATATAAGATGTTTGAGAAAGTACTAACGTTTTGTTCTTACAATCCCTTATTATTTGGATTCCTAGAACAAATCGAGATTCTCCCAAATCTTTGATTTTGAATTAGTGAGCTAACCAATTTTTAAGGTTGGTTAGAAAACTCATATCATTTCCAATGAGCAGGATATCATCCACATGAAGGACAAGGAAAGCTACATTTTTCTTGATGATTTTCTTGTACACGCAAGGTTCATAGCATTTTGTTCAAAACCAAATGATTTGATAGCAATATCAAATCTAATATTCAAAGATCTACGTAAATGTTTCAATTCATAAATGAATCGTTTTAGTTTGCAAACTTTTTGCGCTCGACCTTGGTTTATAAACCCCTTTGGTTGATTCAGGTATATGGTCTCTTCAAGATTGTCATCCAGAAAAGCAATCTTAACATCCAATTGTTATATCTCATAGTAAAAATATATGGCAATAGACAAGAATAATTAACTTAAGCATGGCAACAGAGGAGAAAGTTTCCTTATAGTCAACTCCCTCCCTTTGAGTCTAACCCTTTGCCACTAGTCTTGGTCTAAAGATTCGTACCTTTCCATCTACACCTCGTTTTCTTTTGTAAATCCATTTACAACCTACGAGTTTCACCCCATCCGGAAGATTTACAAGTTCCCCAACGTCATTCATTACTTCCTTAAAAGTCAATGGATCGATATCATTATCTGCTATGACCACTTGAACTTCAGTTAAGCCCATGTAACGATTAGGTTGTATCACAATCCTCCCATTATGACAAGACCTAATTCTTGACATGGATATATCTAACTTTCAAATGCTATGATGTTATGAATGACTCTTGTTGAGTTGTAGCTCTTTTAAGCTACTCTAATCCAAGCTAACCATCAAGTTCCAATGACTTGGTTCATTCGTATTTGGGTAATTTGAGTGAATGGTTAAAATTGGACACCCATTTTAAAAAATGTCCAATAGTATCACATTTTGCACAAAGAGCTCAACTACATTTTAGGAGATTTAAAAATTTGATGATTTTCCAACTTTGCCCCTAATCTATCTGTGTCCCTGCACATTTGAAACCACCTAACATAGATTTGTTTCCCATATTTAAGGGATTTAATTGATTTGATTTTATATCTCCACCTTTTAAATTTTAGTCTTAAAGTGATCTCCCATACCTTTCCTTTCTGCAACAACCAATTAAACGACCAATGAATTGTATCTTATAAACTCTTCGTAGCGATGGATTAAGTTTTATCCTTCCAAGCTCTCCTATCAGCAATAGTGAATTCTATACTAGTCCCATTTCTATATGATGGTAGTTGAGACCAAAACAAATCACTATGCTTTGTCATGATTACAAAAGCTCCATGTATTAGTACCTTTGGCTTGGGCATGGACTGAGGTTATTCTTATTCAATTTTATTGTATTTTTCTTTTCTCTTAATTTTATTCAATTTTCTTTATGTTTGTTTCTCTGTCTCCCCTTCTCATTCTTGTTGAAGTTTGCAACTTAGCCCTTGAAATTACTTTTCTCCTCAAGTTCTTAATTATAGGTCATCATTGTGCTCACAAATCATGGGAACAAGTTAGTTGGGGAAGACATTATAGGTATTGACTTTGTAGATACCAATATTTATCCCAAAATGAAAATGCAACACTGGTACAAACCACTGTAGATATTGACATTGACCTCAAAATGGAAGTGTGACACCCAATGTAGACCATGGCAGATATCGACATTGACTCTAGAAATGGAAGTGGAGACTAGTATAGATATTGACATTTACCTAATAAATGGAAGTGTGACTCCAGTGTAGACCACAACTCACCACCAATGCATGACATTGATTTCATAAATGAAGTGTAGACCACAACTCACCATCAATTCACTAGTAATTATACGTGTATCTATTGATATATAGAGTGTGCATATGTTTCTAAAGTGAATATAGTTTGACAAGACGACTTCACCTGATAAGGTATGTTTGATTTTATTTTATTTCATAATTGTATAAACCCATTAAATATATTTACCCCTCCCACCTAAAAATTTTAAATTTTAGATTTTAAATTTTAACTTAGAAATTTATAACTTTTAGATGTTAGTCAAATTTTGAATAAATTTTTATTTATCTACTTTCAAAATTTACTTTCAATTTCTAAATTAGATTTTAGTTGTTTAAATTTGATTATTTAAAATTGATTCTACAATTAGATGCGTTGTTTTTCAAGATGTTGTAGCAAATAAAATCTCTAAAATTAAGCACATATAGTTATAGGGGTATATTTGTCTAAAATAATATTTTGGATTCTAAAAAAAACTTCATTTAACCATTTACACATAGTTTGGCCATTTTTTAAAACGCCTAATTTATTTTGACTGCGGTTGCCCTTTCATATTTTGGGAATGCAACATCAAAAAACCCAGAGTTTCCATCTATTAATCATAACCTAAAACATGAACAATATTAAAACACCATACAGATTTCGATTGCTAACTGCATTAACTCTTAATTTCAGGTTAAGAGATCACAACTCTTTCAAGTTTCCAATAAACCTCCCATAAGGCTAATAAAGGGATGTCGACTACTATTCCCCAATTAGCATATGAAATTCAATGGCATTACCATCCGGACTGATCCATGGTTAATATACCATTCTCCAAGGCACGAGTCACTGGCACCGACTTCACCGCCACGGCCAGCTGCAGTCACTTGTCAATGGACGCATCCATTGCGAGATGCAGAAGGTACCAGTTTCTAGGGTGGTAGACGACGAGCAACAACCCGAGGACGAGTAGAGGGCAACCACCTTAATTATTTATACAGTTTCTTTAATCTAATCTAAAATGAATCAAGAGGAAGTCGATTGCGGTTGGAAACATCAGATGTGAACTTTAATTTACCTGCATCAGTAAAATCACATGAAACAAAATCACCATATTTGAAACTTTATTTTACAATTAAATTACCCTCAAGAGTTTCTCTAAAGTATTAAAATCAACTCCCGATAAAAAATGAAGTATGAACAATGTAAGGCCCAACGGTAGAGAACAGTTTTTGCATATTTGATTGCCTTAAAGACTGATTCTCAAAGTTTAAGACCCAGAACTTCTTTTCCATCAAATTGAGGTAACTGAGTCCTCATCGCTGTGTTCACTGTCGCTACTGCCGCTGCTACTTCCACTGCTACTACCACTGCCTGATTCGCTGCTACTCGAACTCGACGTCTGCTTGTCCCTACCCTCTGCATTAACCTGAGCTCTAAGGGCTTCTGCAGCATTAGGTCCCTTCTGAGCTTCGTCGCCACTATCATCCACATCAGCAATCTCATCATCGGTATCATTATGATGTGGTACATTTATATCAAATCCAACGTCAATTTTTTCTTCTTCAACATTGTTTCCATCGTCAGATGATACAGACCCAAAAATTTCATCGATATCTATATCTTGATGCTCATCGTCATTATCCATGCCTGGAGAGGGTGAGGGAGCAGACACATTTGGTGGATCTGATGTGTAATCAGCAACCTCTTTACTAGCAGCGACAGAGCTTGCACCTGCCATGCACGTAAGCATATTAAAGATAAAACGCATCAAAGAAAATAATTAGAATGTTCATGAATTGAGGGCTCACTTGTTCATGTTCAAAGATTTAATTAAAACGCAGTGCTGATTGAGTTGGAACACTTCAAGAAACATCAGAGATTCATAACAAGCCAGAAATTGTCTAGATAAGCAAGAACCATGTTCTGAAGCTAAAGATAACAAACCAGGGACACCACTATATTGCCGCCCCCTAATTTCGAAGAAAATGCCACGCTAGAGGCACATTTTAACCACTTAATAACCGCCCAGTAGTAAGGAAACAAACAAGTAGCTGAAAGATCTATACTTCATCTCATAGGCATTCAATATCTCTTTCGGGAAAACCGCACTTATGGAGTGATAAATAGAACACATGAGTACATCTGAAATTCTAAAAGAGAGATGTATTTATTTCTGGGAAGAAGGGTGTTTTAACAAATGCATTGAAACATCTAGCAAACAAGATCCCAAAGTTTGTCAAACCTATTGAAGCTAGATCGAATATAAATATGTAGTTTGGCCTTTTCTCCGGTGCAAAACAGGTTGTTCAATATCTTACGTCATACTATCAAATCATTGTCCAAAAAAATTAAACAAGAATCTAAAAACTAAAAGGAAAGAACATATAAACAAATAGTTACTAAAAAATCTGATCAACACTTCAATTTTCAAACAGAAAAATAATCCATTAAAGTACACTTTTCGACTTTCTCCGCTCAGTAATGATGCAAGTCCTGTAAGAACTGAATCTTGCAGAAAATATTACCTCGAGACTTCATGAGCAGCAATCATCTTCATATTGATAAGTAGTGACTTCCCAAAATAAGGTTATAGATAATGAAAAATTTTACAATATATTAACATACCAAACTTTTTTTTTTTTTTTTTGTAAGAAACAAAATAAGTGTATTCAAATCAAGAAGGCCCCTAAAGGGGATACAAACGAAAGGCGGAGGGTAGAGCTAACCCTCCCCAAGCTCTATACAATCACCGCTTTCCAATCTTGTGTAACCAAAAGAAGATTGTAGTTATAAAAAACTTTCTTGGGTAGTAAAGTCCACCAAGAAGCTAGAAGCTTAATATTCACACAAAAAGAATCTAACAAAATCAACTTATCTTCAAAAAGCCGACTATTCTGTTCCTTCCATATCGCCATAAAAGAGCCCGAGCCGCACAATTCCAAAGAACCCACGCTTTGCCCTTGAGTTGCCTTCCTCTATAACCTTCAGCAATGGAATCCTCAATTTTTCTAGGAACGCAAAGAGAGAAATCTAGCAAAGAAGCTATAAAACCCCAAGCTTTGGAAACAAAAGGGTAGTGGAGAAAGAGGTGGTCCACTGTTTCGTTGTTGCTCATACACATTTTGCACACAGAGGGAGAAAGAGTCCAGTGAGGGAGTTTCCTCTGAAATTTCTCTGCGGTATTTATCCCTCTATAGAACAAAGTCCAAATGAAGAATTTTACCTTCTTTGGGACTCTAAAATTCCAAATCAATTTTGTTGGAGCTGAATTAAGTTTAGGAGAAGGGGACGTGAGAGCCATGAAGGCTGAATTGACTGTGAAACGGCCGGATGGGTCCGCTTTCCACCATAAAATGTCCCTTTCATTTCCAATAGCTGCACCTTCTACTTTTTCAGTGAAGTTTGCCCATCTACTCATTTCCTTTTCAAAGAGATTTCTTCTGAAACCGAGATTCCAAGTTGAGGCCTCTGCACACCAACAATCCGCAATGGACATACCTTTCTTGGAGGATAACGCAAACAAATCCAGGAAAGTGGTGGAAAGAGGGGCAGAATCAATCCATGGGTCCTCCCAAAATCTGACTTGGACACCTGAGGAAACTTTGAAGAATGAGAACTTTTGGAAAGCTCTAAGGTTCTCTTGTATGTCCCACCACAATAGAAGAACCACCCGATGGTTTAGTCCACCATCCAAAAGACTCCACATCGTAAATAGTGGCTATCACCCGTCTCCAAAGGCTATCTCTTTCCACTGTGGACCGCCATAACCATTTCATTAATAGAGCATTGTTCCTTAGCCTCAAAGATCCAATTCCAAGGCCCCCCTGTTTATGAGTCAAAGCCGACCAAGACCACTTCACCAAATTCCCCACAGATCTAGAAATCCCACCATTCCATATGAAGTCCCGCATAAGCTTCTCCGTAGACTTTATGACTGTCTCTGGAGCTTTGAGAATCGAAAAGAAGTATATGGGGATGCTATTGAGGACCGACTGAGCAAGAGTAAGCCTACCACCCTTGGAAAGAAGCAAAGATCTCCATTTTTGGAGTCTTTTGTGAATTTTGTCCACCACCGGAGCCCAAAACCTAGTGGTCTTGTGGTTCCCTCCTAGGGGAAAGCCCAGGGAAAGAATCCATTTTGCAACCAAAAGAGGAAGACCAGAAGCTAACCTCTGACCATGTGCAATTAACACCAATCACAGCAGTTTTTGCGACATTCAGAGAAAGACCCGACGCCAATAAAAACACATGAATGAGACCCCACCAATTCTACATTAATTGAGCTGAAAAGAGGCAGAAAATAAGCACATCGTCGGCATATTGGAGGTGAGTCACCTCTAAGGAGCTAGTTCCAATATTGAAACCTTTGAGAATATTCCTCTCATTGCAAAAGTGAATTAATCTACTCAACGCATCACCCACAATCGTGAAGAGAAAAGGGGAGAGGGGATCCCCTTGTCTTAAGCCCCTTTTGGTCTTTACCTTGCCTCTAGGCTTTCCATTAAGCAACACAGAAAAGTTGGTACCTTGCCTCTAGGCTTTCCATTAAGCAACACAGAAAAGTTGGTACCTTGCCTCTGGGCTTTCCATTAAGCAACATAGAAAAGTTGGTAGATGAAAGACACCCTTAATCCACCTACGCCACCGAACTCCAAAACCTTTTGCCTCCGGTTCAGCATCAAGGAAATCCCAGTCTACTTTATCGTAAGCCTTTTCGAAATCAAGTTTGAGGAGGAAGCCTTTGTTTTTCGAGTTCTTCCACTAACTCACTGTCTCAAAAGCTACCATAATAGCATCAAGGATTTGCCGACCTTCCACAAAGGCTACTTGGGCGTCATGAATAATGCTAGGGAGCACTTGTTTTTGTTTCAAACGGGCAGCGAGCACCTTAGCAATAATTTTGTATAAAGAAGTGACCAGACTAATGGGCCTATAATCTTACTGTACGAGGGTTTGAGCTTTTGGGAATCAAACAAATGTAAGTTTCATTAGTCTTCTGCTTAACAATTCCCTTCTCGAAAAAATCGTGGAACACAGTGACCAAATCCGGTTTAATAATGTTCCAAGCCTTTTTCAAAAACTCGTTGCTTATTCCATTCGGACCCGGAGATTTAAGATTGCCCAAATCTGCCACTGCCTTCCCTATCTCATCCTCGTGTGAAAGGATTTTCTAAAAGAGCCATATGAGAGTCTCCGAGGGGAACCCAGTCCAAATTCTCAACATATCAAACTTAAAAGCTTAAATCACCCTATACAGCATAAATCTGCTCCTACATCGATTATTGGCTATAAGTATATAGGTACAAACAAAATGCATGGCTAATCTCTTTGAATTGCAGTAACCAAGGTCTGTTTTTTCATTATCCATCTATCTCATGTTCTCAACAATTGGAGCCATATTTATAACTTTCTGTAACACGGGCTCCTTTTGTCTCTTTTAGTTTTTTGTATTGCCGGTTGTATTCATTCATTAAGAAAAATGAAGAAGATTAGTTTCTCATTAAGATAAACAAGAAGTTGTAAACTAAGATACCAATAACAAGGCAGGAAAAATGAGAAGTGAAATAATAAGACAACCAATTGGGTAAAGCAGTGAAGTAAGGGATCCAGTTTCAAAATTATAGGTAGTGTTTGTTCAGAATCTTTTTCTTAAGCAAATACCATGAAGATAAACAGCCAACTGAGTATCACAAAGTACAAACCAAAAAATCCAAACAAATTATAATAGTATCAGATAAGCATATTTACCTGTATTTCCTGGCTCTCCAATATCTATTCTTTCCACCTCCACCTGTGAATGTAAATGCAGAGCATATTAGAACAATGAAAAGAGAGAGGGAGAGAAGAAAGCTTAATGAAAATTTAGCTGGCATTTAAAAGTACACAACTACTTTACCTACTGTAAGGTTTAGCTACTTTTTTTTTCCAAAATGAAATTGTGAAGTGTTAAGCATACTTTCTCGAATCTTTCCTCCTCGTTGTTGAGATTAAGGTATATCAAATTAATATGAAATTCTTGGCTAACATAAACTAGAAATTAACATAGAATTCCTTCAGCATTATAAGTTTGAACATTTTTCAATTTGATCAGTCTAAAGTGTAAAACAGTATATATGTAATAGGGGAAAAAAATCTTAAAGAGCTCTAACCGGCACCACAGGAAAACTGCTTCGACCCATATGCATTGGTTTGGTAACTTTAGCCACCGGAGGAGATAACCTAGGCTCCGGAACCGTCAAAGAATGGGGGACAGAAGTGGTGATGGACGTGGTAGCGGATTCATCCGCCTGTCGAACGTGCCGTAGATGCGTGACTGCACGATGTAGCCGCTCCAACCGGAATGTCTCGCCGTCAAAAAACAAAACGGCATCATTTTCCTTACAATCCTCACTACTACCAACAAACGCCACATTGGGTCTCCCCAATTGATTGTTCTGAAATTCAACAGTAACCCTATTATCCTTGGTCTTCTTCAACGATCCCGGCTTCGTTTTATCGATTGACGCCGGTTTAAATTCATCTGAAACAATAGTGCATAAACAATTCAAACAACGTGATAGAAAGGAAAAAAAGGGCAAAAGAAAGTCTGAATTATCCCATCCCGCAGTTTCACGGCAAATGAATTTACACCAATCGGGTTTAACTTCAATTTGGACTCAATCTCAATTACTTACATCGGAGAGTGCAGAATTTGTTGGAGGATTCGTCCTTGAAGGATGGACCGAGTGATAGATTATACCACCGTTCGGATTGGGGCGCGGTCTTCGGCTCTTCTTTATTGTCGTTCGCCATTATTGGAGAGAGCTTAGAGGGATAACCAAAGCAAAGTACACTCTGGGATCCAGAAGCGTGTGGCAATACCTAATTGATGGAAGTAGGAATGTTGTTCAGAACCATAAAAATTGATTTCCTTAATACAAAGGAAAATACTGGCTCCTTAACGGTAAGGAGGAATATTGTCCTCACCCATGTTTGACAACTAAGCGAGAAATCCAAAAACAATTTTTTTTTTTTTGTTTAAATAGAATGAGTTGTAAATTTTTCAATGATGGTGGGGACAAGATTTCATCCTAAAGCTTGTGATTTACCTAAGAAGGATGCATATCAATGTAATTTAATCTGTTCTAATATCCCATAGAAAAGGTGAACCTGCTAAGGAAAACTGATTCGATTTATCCTACCCAAATGAAAAATACAATTTGGAAGATTCTGCTATAGGATCCTTGGATAATCCGACAAATCTAAACCTTGCTAGATTTGCCAGGTACGAATATCATTTAGTTAGTTATGAGTTGCCTGTGATTATTTTTAAGTAATGCATATAATGATTTCTAATGCATCAGTACGCAAACTTTTGCGCTAACACTTACATGAGTTTTCATTCATAAGAATCCTTCGTGTGAAGCTGGTGAAATAGGTTTATTGAAAAAGTTTCTTTAAACTATGCCAGTGATAAAATAAGAAAATTGAAAAAGTTAGTCGATTAAATTACTATCTTCTACAAATAAAATGTTAAACTTCTTTTCTCCACATATCTTAAACATTAAAAGCAAGTTCTTATGCTTGTATTGTGCATGACTACATCCCTAATGCCCTATACACGGCATAACATTTTCTATCTAATAAGAGGTAAACGGATAAAAAGTTAAATATGCATCTATGGTGGGTGAAAAGATATGAGGCAGAATTTCTCTACCCTATGGAGTATGTGGCTCAAGTATTGGCATGGTGAGGGGAGCTTCTAAGGTTTTGCTCCAACCATCTTTGGAGTGAAATGCGCTCTTAGAGTGATGGATATGATTATTCTCAGTGTCCTAAAACACAATAGTGCAAGTTTCCAATTTAGATACTACAAGACATCTGAATCATGCTAAACATTCTTTTACAGTAAAGTATAAGGTGTGAGAGTAGGATTTCTATTAGAAAACTTAATTCATAGTTATTCTGCTTGAATGATAAAGCTATCACCTCAACTAAACTCTAGATGCATAATTCGGAATTATGAGGAGATCAACCTAAATCAACATCATTTCGGATCTATAACTGTATATTGACTCTTTAGCCAACTTTTTTTTTTTTTCCAATGAGAAACTGCACTTTCGTTGAGAGAAATGAAAAAAGAAGATACACAAAAAGGACATACAAAAAAACAACCTGGCAAAGAAAACCCTTATAAGAACGGGCTCGAATCCAAAAGAATAAGACCTAACAGATAATTACAAAAGGCCTTAGTGGCCGAACCCCATAAGGAAGTATTAAACCTAATGAGGTCCCAAACAGAATCCACAGATTTCTCCACACCCCTAAACAACCTATTGTTCCTTTCCAGCCAGATACCCCATAAAGAAGCCAGAAAGCACGCTTGCCAGAGAAAGCGGCCTCTATTACGAAAGGGGGGAATAACAACACTTCCTCCATCATCGCCCTGCAATCTCTGGAACAAACCCAAGCAATACCAAAACCTCTAAAAAATCAACACCACAACTCCTGCGCAAACTGACAAGACCACAACAAATGCTCAAGATCTTCCGCGGCATTCCTATACAGAACACACCACTGTGGGCGCAGGCAAAAGGAAGACATCCTTTGAATCCGATCCAAGGTATTGACTTTACCAAGTAATACTTGCCACCCAAAGAACTTAATCTTCTTTGGAATTTTAATCTTCCAAAGAGACGTAAACCAAGGGGTCACCAGGGACGGAGAAGAGGAAGAAGAGAGAGAAGCCAAAAAAGATGAAGAAGACGGGGAAATCAGAACCTGGAAAAAAGAGCTACAAGAAAACCCTCCCAAAGGGTTAGGAATCCACACCCTCACGTCTTCCCTCCCAGAGGAGCACGAAACACTAGGCAACAGATCAAGTAACGCGGCAATCTCTAACGATTCCGGATCAGTTAAAGACCGAGAGAGCCCCAGCGAAATGGACGAATCCTCTTCCCCAAAATTCAAAACCTCAGCCACAGAAAGGAGTTTCTTTTCAGACAAAAAGTAAATCCGAGGGAACGCAAGACTTAAGGGTTTATTGCCTAACCAAGTATCCTCCCAAAAGTAAGCATTAAGACCATCCCCCACAGAAACTCGAAGAGAAAGAGAGAAAACGGGGAAACATGACGCAATAGCCTTCCAGGGATTGAAATTGCTCACCTTAGACCCACCTGCCAGAATCCAGTCAGAGGGATGTCGCTCATACTTACTCACAATAATCTTTCGCCACAAGGCGTGAGGTTCGTGGAAGAAACGCCATAACCATTTGGCCAGGAACGCCTCATTCCTAAGTCTCAAGTTTCCAACACCCAACCCTCCCGCTTCCAAAGGCTTGGACACCTCTTTCCAATTAACAAGATGAGCCCCACCCCCCTCCTCCACACCTTCCCAAAGAAAATCCCTCATAATCTTCTCTAACCCTTCAATCACTTTCACAGGGATCCTGAAAAGGGACAGATAGTAATTTGGAATGCCTCTCAAAACAGACTGTATCAACGTGAGTCTCCCACCTTTCGAAAAGAAAGCCTTCTTCCACGAAGAGAGGCACTTCTGAAACTTTCCAACATCGGCGTCCAAAAGATAGCAGACTTAGGGTTATGACCAAGAGGAAGATCGAGATACGAGGAGGGAAACTTGCCTACTTCGCACCTACCAAGGTCGCCCACTCACTAAGTTTACCATCCTCACAATTAATGCCCAATAAAGAACTCTTACCCCTGTTTATCTTAAGACCCGAAATAGCTTCAAAGAAACCAAGGAGGCCATTAAGATTCTCAAACGCCCTAAAATTACCGGAGCAGAAAAGAAGGGTATTGTCAGCAAACTGGAGATGCGAGAGACAAGCTTTCTCCCTCTCCACTTCAAAAGCTTCCAAAGCCTCTTTCTCCACTCCAACTGAGATAAGCCTACTCAGGATATCCACCACAAGAATAAACAAGAATGGGGACAAAGGATCACCTTGCCGGAGACCTCTTGAGGCTAAAATTTTTCCTCGAGGTCTCCCATTCACCAGGATAGAGTAGTTTACCGATCTAATGCAATTCCAAATCCAACCTCTCCATTTGTACCAAAACCTTTCTTCATCCATTAATTATGCAAAAAAACCATGCGCCAACAAAAATGCCTTGATACCGAAGCACATTACTCAATCCTATTTTATTCCTGCTTTTATTTGAAAATAGAATATCGAAGCATATAGAATTAGTTCGAAAATCCAATTATTTATGAATTCAAACTAATGAATTTTAAACCTCAAATATCCACAAAATTATAGAATTATAAACTTTAAACACCCATAATATTTGAGAATTACACACTTGAATATTCACAGTAATTTTCGAACATGAACAAGCAGTTTATGAATGTCTGCGGTGGACTTGTACCAAAGATTCTAAATACCCAAATTTCAAACATCTACCATCACAAATTCAGATTTCACAACATTTAAGAATTATTAACTTAAAACACCCACAACCACATAATTTCAGAATCACAAACACCCACGATATTCCAGAAACATAAACTCATTAACAGTCCAGAAATTTCTAAATTTCAGCAGACGATCACTAAAAGTAGTCCAAGAATCCTCAAATTTTAACAAAAACATAAACTCTCCAATAATAACCCTCAATTTACATCCAACATAAACTCATAATATAGTCCAAAATCACCACAAATTTACTCTTATACAAACAGTTGAAATAGCAACTAATTTAGAACAGAAATCTCATACAAACATTCACTCACAAAGTTTTTCAGAATCAGAATATTTCGGAATCTTAATACAGTTCAACTATTAAAAAAATTTAGAATCGCTCACCTTACTCACCTACGTTGCTTAATCACCGGAGTGATGGTAATCGCTAATCCAGTTGTCGTGAGTCTGAAATTATACAAGATCTGGTTCGTCGGAGGATCGCCGGATATGTCACTCCGGGAGAAGAATCGCTGGAAGGGGGTTATCGGGTCTGCACGGTCACCGCCCCACCGCTGGGATCTGCCGCCGTCGAACGTCGGGGCACCGCCGCCGCTCGTGATTGCGCCGTCGGATTCCGCCGCCGCCCAACGGAGACGGTGACGCCGGATTTCGTGGACGAGCTGCCGCTTCTTGTGTCGCCGGAGCTCGTGAAGAGGTAAGAAAGAGGGTTGTGGTGGGGGCTAATTTTTAGAGAGAGAATGAGACGGAGCATAAGAAAATATTGAGCTTTTTTGTGTAAGTTGGAAAATGAAGAGAGAATAAAATGCGAAAGCATAATGAAATTTTGGCCTCTTTGTTAAGTTTTACTTTTTCCATCCTCCCTGGATATAAATTTTTTTAATATAGTTTTTTATAATAAATTTCAAATTTAAATGAATATATTTTTATTGATGTCTAAATATTAAATTGTTGACGGTGAATTTAGACGAAGGGCCTCGTGGTCTCTGGACGAGCAGTCCGACCTTGGATCCACTGGACCTCAAATCAAATAACTCGACGTCGGTACGGTGTCCCACCTAATACAGTCTGACGCTCAAGTTAGTACGTAATCGGAGTAAAGATAGGAATAAGACACTGGAGATATTAGTGACAGGTTTTTCACTTACTTGGTGAGGATAATCGTCCTTCCTTTTATAGTTCCGGAGGGCCGACAAGGAAGGACGACGGTTAGCGGTGGCAGGGGCGTCGCATGCTGTACGGTTGGAAAGAGGAAGGTACATTCCCGACAGCTACAGGCTAGTCTCGCTGCCTGCGCCTTCTAGACATGTCGCCCAGGGCTGCAGGATGTGCCCGTCGTACCGACAGCATGTGCCGCCACCTGTGGCCACGTACGGGGCATAACCGTTTATAGTCCTTCATCCTGNTCAGTCTGATGCAGGATTATTTACAAGCGGGTCAGTTGACAGCCAGTTCGGAGTTGGAGTTTTGGGTTGTCATCAAGACAATGCCGAGTTTAAGTGGGGAGAGTGTTACAATCCTAATTGTTATCTTTGGATTGTACCCTACAAGTATGTCATCGAGGACGATGACAGTTTAAGTGGGGAAAAATGTCACAACCATACTAGTAGATAGTAGGTTGCGACACCCACATAGTGGAAATATGGTGGCGACATGCATATATCGTCCGTCGGACCATGTTGAGGGCCGAGAGAGAAGTGTCGTGATGCGACCAAGGAGGATGGTGCATCACCTAACACACCCCATGGATGTGCACAAGAATGCCTAGAGAAGGCATATGCCGAGTGCAAAGCGAAAGCAATGTCAGTGGTGTCGGTAACAAGCTCAACGGGGGCCAATTGCAGCCCCGGGCCATGACCCTAGAAGTTAGGGTTCTGTCGAGAGTTTGGAAGAGCGGCTTTAGAGTTAGCTGCATATTAGTGAGATATGTAAGCACGCCAAGTTTCGTGTCAATTGGAGTTCAGACGTGCGCTCTACGTTGGAGAGTGACTCCTCGCCACTTTCGACGTACATGCCCTGTCTCTTATACACATCTGCAGGATGTGCCCGTCGTACCGACAGCATGTGCCGCCACCTGTGGCCACGTACGGGGCATAACCGTTTATAGTCCTTCATCCTGTCTTGAGCAAACGCGTCTTCTGCTAGCAACATCCTCTCTCAGAAGGTGGTTCTCAGTGGGCCCACGCTCGCGAAGAGATGAATGCGTGTCCTGTTCAGACGTTACTCATAACAGTTAGCCCTCTTTCGGGGTTAGGCCACTTTGTAGATTAGTGGGCTGGACCCAAAAGCGTTTGAAGTCGGATAGGGTGCGTGGGCGTTCCATTCGTATCTCTACGGATCGATTTGTGGGGTCCATAAGTTACTATGACCGCATAGATTAGTCGTTGGTGCGTACGGTCGTTTTGATGGGAGGACACTCGATTTGTAGGGCTCACAAGTTACTGTGACCGTGTAGATTAATCATCGATGCGTATGGTCGTTTTTATGGGAGGACACATGTTCGCTGTTGTTTCATGGGCGATCGCATCCCTGGTGTCATTTTCGAAGCGGCCGGGTCAGCGGCAACGATCTCCGAGGCTGTTGGGATCCGAAACGGCGCTCAAAGATCTTTTTAAATCCATCTGCAGGCGAGGTGATGATCACCCCCTATTTGTAGCCTTTTGCTTGTTCTAAATGAAAGACGAGACCCTTTGATATTACTGTTATTTTGCAATGTCTTCAATGGTTCCCTCCCCCAGTAACTTTCTTATCACCTCTAGGAGGAAATTCACTGTTCCTGCTTGGAGACTTATTTGGGATGTCCGTTAAATTTTAGCAAATACGTCTGAGTGGGAGCCCTGGTTGGCTGCAGTATTCGAGGAGATGCCTTAGAGTGTTCCTAAAAAGGCAGGAATTCATCCGAGTTGGAGCTCTTGTTGGCTGTTCCACTCAGGAAAATGCCTTGGAACATTAGTTCTCTAGAGGCTTGCTTGCGGCCGAGTGGTGCCACGTGGACTATTCGGACTCGGGGGCAACCTTGGAACTAACTTAGAGTGTTCCTAATTGAAGTGTCGTGATGCGACCAAGAAGGATGGTTAATCACCTAATACATCATATGGATGTACTTAAGAATGCCTAGAAAAGGCATATGCAGAATGCAAGGCGAAGGCGGTGTCAGTGGTGTCGGTGACAAGCTTAACAGAGGCCAGTTGTGGCCCCAGGCCATGACCCTAGAAATCGGGGTTCTGTCGAGTTTGGACGAGCGACTTTAGAGTTAGATGCATATAAGTGAGATATGCAAGCACGCCAAGTTTCGTGTCAATCAGAGTTCAGACGTACGATCTACGTTGGCGAGTGACTCCTCGCCACTTTGCACGTACACGCCTGTCATACCAAGATTACCTTAGAATGTATCTTAGGGGGAGGCATGGTGTTGGCTCTCCACCACCCCTCGGCCATGTCAGGGGCTAAGTGAGCTGTGTGTCATGGTGAGGGCGAGCGTCTGTAAGACAAGTGTCTTGGGCGACTTCCTTTGAAGGATAGGAAACTCGAGGACAGTGTTAGGCGGCATAGGTGTGTCGGCATTGCACCTTGATCCATGTGTCGGAGGTTGCACCATGTGACCCTTATGCGGGACGGTATGCTCGAACGACATGGCACGAGCGCAAGAGTCGTCGTGCCTCGATAGTGTCCGGATGACTGGATGTCCGGAAGGCCCCGATCAGAAATACGAACTCATGGGTCGATTCTCGGTATACATGTCCAAGTAAGCAGCGAAGTCCGATGACATCCCGATGCTCGGGGTGGCATCCTACAGTATCGGTGGGCACCCAGTAAGTGAGAAAAAGCTAGTCTTGGCTCGGTAAGCGGCAAGACTCATCCTTGTCCGGATCTCGGTAGGAATCATCCCGGTAGTATCCGGTAAGGCCGTTTAGCCCGTTATTGACTAGTTTCTCGGTAGGAATGGTCTTAGAGGTGTCCGATGGGCCCGATAAGCTAGTTTTGACATAGTTAAGTGGCAGGAATCTCCCGATGTACCCAGTTGGCGTTTTAAGCTTGTTTTGACCCCGTTAAAGGTTAGAACTCATCTTGGTAAGGTCCTAGCTCATCGTAGGAGCAGAACAGTCAAGTGCCCGAGAACCAAGATGGTTGGAAATGAGTCGCGACGTCGCGTTTTGAGGACCTTGGCCTATAGTGGAGGCAAGGTAGAACCATGGGACTTGGTCTGGTGTAGAGGTAAGCCGGTTAGAGTCAGAGAGAGTTTAAATGCACATACGGGCGACATGCATTGCCCAAATAAGATAAATTCCACATGCAAGTGAAGTTCGGTCGAGGAAAAAAGAACCTCACCTAAGGTCCGACGAAGCCACAAAGGGTGCGAAAAATGGATTGGGGCTAGAGTTTCCCATAAGGCTGGCCATGGTCGAACTTAGATCATGGCACCGCATAGTTGAAAAATGTACGATAGTGACACCCGTCGTACCGACAGCACGCGCCGCCACCTGTGGCTACGTATGGGGCGTAACCGTTTATAGTCTTTCGTCCTGTCTTGAGCAAACGCGTCTTCTGCTGGAAACATCCTCTCTCAGAAGGTGGTTCTCAGTGGGCCCACGCTCGCGGAGAGACGAATGCGTGTCCTATTCAGACGTTACCCATAACAGTTAGCCCTCTTTCAGGGTCAGGCCACTTTGTCGATTAGTGGGCTTGACCCAAAAGCGTTTGGAGTCGGATAAGACGCGTTGGCATTCCATTCGTATCTCTGCAGATCGATTTGTGGTGTCCACAAGTTACTATGATCGCATAAATTAGTCGTCGATGCGTACGGTCATTTTTTGGGAGGACACTCGATTTGTGGGGCCCACAAGTTACTGTGACTGTGTTGATTAGTTGTCGGTGCGTATGGTCGTTTTTATGGAAGGACACATGTCCGTCGCTGTTTCATGGGCGATCGCGTCCCTGGTGTCGTTTTCGAAGTGCCCGGGTCAGCGGCCGTGATTTTCGAGGTCGTTAGGATCTGAAATGGCACTCAGAGATCTTTTTAAATCCATCCGCAGGCGGGGTGATGATCACCCCTTATTTGTAGCCTTTGCTTGTTCTTAATGAAAGACGAGACCCTTTGATATTCCTGTTATGTTTCAATGTCTTCATGGTTCCCTCCCCTAGTAACTTTCCTATCACCTCTAGGAGGAAATTCACTGTTCCCGCTTGGAGACTTACTTGGGATGTCCGTTAAATTTTAGCAAATACGTCTGAGTGGGAGCCCTGGTTGGCTGCGCTATTTGGGGAGATGCCTTAGAGTGTTCCTAAGAAGGCAGGAATTCATCCGAGTTGGAGCCCTTGTTGGCTGTTCCACTTGCGAAAATGCCTTGGAACATTAGTTCTCCAGAGGCTTGCTCACGGCCTAGTGGTGCCCGTGGGCTATCCGGACTCGGGGTGTAATGCCCTACATTACCTTTAACAGTATTTTCGTGACTTTATATTATTATTGTATTTCAGCTAAGCTAGTCAAATCTGATAAGATTAGCAAGTTGATAATTGTATTTAAGTAACAAAATTAGCAATAGTACTTTAGTAATTAGATAAATATTGTGAATTATGGTAATTGTAATGGTAGAATTAGTTAAATATTTATAAAGTTTCACACATTTTACCCAAAGTTTTATTATAACGTAATTAACCAGATAAAGCTCCCATTACCTTTATTTTACTCTTTATTTTTCTACCTTAAATAAATTAACTTAATTGAGGGAATATAGAAAGTTTTGCTTAACTCATAACCATGATTAGACTATATAACTCACCTTCCACTAACCATG